GTGCGCTGCCTCCGCGCCCCGTGCGCCCGGCGCCACCCTGTCTCCCGTCCTCCTTCGCCGTGGCGCCCTGTTCAAAATGCTTCCCAAGCCGCCATCTCTCAATATAACCAAAACGTTGGTGCGCGCATGTATTTTATACATGAAAGATGGTTATTTGAGACCAGACAGTTTCTCATTGTCACCGTCCGCGAGCTTTTTAACTGTGCTACCTGTATAATATAATATAAAGTACTGTAATAATCAAAATGAACCTTCCAGGTTGAATGGAAACCAGTTAGCACTCCTGATAAAAGAAGCTAATAACAGCTTAATAACAGCTTGGCAACGTGAAAGTTCACATGAAAGGGTTTGGAATCCCCAAATTGGTATGAAGTGACAAATAGTTCAAAGAGGGATGGACTTGCAGAAGTGCGGCGGCGCGGCTTTTATCGCGGCCTTTCCCTCCGCCGACGCACAGCGCTCCTTCCTAATCCGCACTGACAGAGTTTTCATCATCTGAGGAGGTGGAGGTGGAGGAGGTGGAGGGGGAGGGGGGACCACAGAGGACTGCGGGGGGAATCGGCAGACGGTGCAGGGGGGACTTTCCTCCACTCTCTCCCCAGCGGCGGTGCACCCTGAGCGGCCGCAGCCAAGGCCCCCTTTGTCCCAGTTATCACCAACTGGTGAGTGACGGCAATCCCGGCCTCCCGCTCTCAGGTGAGGGTGGGGGGAGGGGGGGGTCGGGTGGAGGAGAGGAGAAGGTGCGCGAGAGGAGCTGATAGGAATGTTCCCAGAAGAGACAGAACCAGAGAGAGAGAGAAAAGGAAAGAAAGGGTCCGTTTGAAGGGACGGCGGCCTCCGTCACCTGTGCGTGTTTCACTGGTGCACCGCGGGAGGAATGTGCATCGCTCTCATGACTCAATAGCACTTGAAATGGGAAAGATAAAAACTCCCAAGGGCCGTCGGAATGGTCAGAATTCCATTCAGTATCATGCGCCTGATTTATTTGACAGGCTCCGATTTAACCGGCTGATGTCATCCGAGCACTAACTAAGTGTTTCCTGCCCTCGTCTCACGTCCTGACTCAATAAGCCCGCTCTCTGCCCGGGGAACTGCCCGGTCAATGAAAAGGGTCAAAGGTCAGTTTCACCCCCACCACCCCCCCCCTCCAGCGCTTCTCCCACGCTCCCAGCATCACTGACACACCTGTGTCCTCACTAGCCCCTCCCCCTCGCCGTCATACCTACAGCAGCACGCGCACACACACACACACACACACACACACACACACACACAGATACCAGCGTCGCAGACATTTCCCTCCCCCTTTCTCCCTCACGTAGACATTCCTGGCCTCCCCCACCAGCTGCCTGCGCACCTGGGCCGGCCGCTGTCATCGCCGTGGTTACGGGCGTACAGCTGGCTGTCACTATCACCTGGCTCATCTGCCTCCGAGAGAGAGAGAGAGAGAGAGAAAAGGTTAGAGAGAAGGCCGGGAACGGAGAGCGCAGGTGTCTGTGGCCGAGATGAAGGAGCGGGAAGAAAGAAAGAGACTTAAGGACAAACGTTAGCAAACAGAAAAACCTCGATTGGATGAAAGATTGTTGCACACATTTTGTCTTGCCGTCAACCGGACTTCTGCTATTCTCAACGCGCCCACTAGTGGCAGCCACTGAGCCCCCCCCCCCCCTCTCAGCCCATCACATCACCCAGCGAACCCCCGATGTATATTGAGGCGCCTTGGAGACACATTTTGTCAAGCTGCAAGCTGATGCTGAAATGCGTTCAGCGGTTTTAGTCGGGAGAAACACGAGACTGTGACGAGGCGCAGATGGAGGACGAGAGCGGCTACAGGACGTTCTCCTCCCCAATTAGACCAAAGAGGGGACTCGTTGCGGCCGGGCGGGCCGACGGAGCGATCCGAGGGAAGTGCTTTTGTCAGAAAGGTGACCAGGAACCCCGAGGGAGGGGGTCACTATTCCCTGAGATCCTGTGGACGGAAGGAACTGCACATAAATATGGAGGAAAATCCCCAATTAACGCGATGGCTCGCATCACCCATCAAAACGTGTCACGCCGAAATAGCGCCCAAGGGAGCCGAAGAGTCTAGATCGCATTGATGTTGAGGGCCTTCTCCATTTTCACGCTGGTCTCCTAACTGGGCTTCACAATGAAACCACCATTTTTTTGTGCCGTAGATTTCACCTTTTAATTTGTCAGCCGTCTGTGTTCAATGACGGGATCTGGGGTCTCTCGCAGTAAACGTGCCAAAGCGAGAGTAGACTCTCTATTTGGTGACATCACCGCTGAAATATTTTGGTTGAATAACGCGCATTATTAAAAACTACAGGGGAAAAAAACACATCACCCAGAAACAACCTCCAGACTGTATTATTTCAAGGGTTCTCTGCGGTGCTCGATTCGAACAAGGTCAGGATCAGGGGTGTAGCAAAACACGACTGTCAGAGACCCCCAACCCCCCCCCCCCCCCCCCCCCCCTGCATGGACGGCTTTAATTACAGCCGAGGAAGTGGCACAGCTTAACGTGAACCACCCTGCTTGGCTGTTACATCCCATGACTCTGAATGACGGCAGTTTAATATCGTTTAATGTGCCTGTGTGTGTGTGTGTGTGTGTGTGTGTGTGTGTGTGTGTGTGTGAGAGAGTTGCACGCCAGCAACTGTGTGGCCAAATCACCGCGCGGCACATGGGCCTATTAAGCTGAGGGGGCATCAAAAGCCCCCCCTCACACCCTCCCGCCCCTTCCCCTGTGCGCCCCCTTTGCCACCCCCTCAGTGTAAATCCCACCCGAAAAAAGGAGCCGTTTACGGGACGAACGGAGCCCATTATTAGGCCCCCCGATAAAACGAAGGCCATTCGGCGGCGTGGGGCGGACGATGGCGAGCGCGCTCTTTTTTTACCTCCGTTTCTCCTCCGCTGCCTGAGAAGCGACGGGTGAAAAACAAGCCTCTGCTTTCATTTACTTCAGATGTCGCGTTTTCGTCTCGCGGCCGCCGTCTCCGGGAGCTCCGGGGCGGCGCCGGCGACCTCTCCCCTCCCCTCGGAGGTCATAAAAGGCTTTCAGTTGAATACATACATAAAGACAACGGGATTATCTCACACAATCGAGAAGTGGACGGGATCAGATCTCCTCCCCCCCCCCCGGAGTTGCTCGGGTGTGGCGAGATCGCTGGAATATTGACCTTAAAGACGTTAAAACGGGCAAAGGCCCGGGACCGACCACCCGAGCGTGCAGCTCTCCGGCCCGTATTGAGTGCTGCTGCCGGATGTAACAGCCGGTTCGGGGGAGCGAACCGTTTTACTCTGGGCGGACATTTTTCATTCAACAATCAAAGTAGCGGCTCGGCGTATTCACACAGACCCCGAGCACGGCATCGCCGTGGCAATGAGTCAGCTACCTAAAAAGAAAAGAGGGATCCCCGTTGCTCGCCTTCCCTCTTTTATTCCATGGGTTTATTAGTCTTTAATAGTTACCAAGTATCATTAAGGCCAACCTCTGCGGCTTCGCTCAGCGCCAAGTGTTTGTTGTCGGCGCTTTATTGGCTTTCAAGGACGAGGCTTGTTGTTGTTCAGTGTAATCTTGGCACGCCAATAACGGGTTTCAATAAAAGCAGCTGCTTTCTAAGCTGCCCCCCTACCACCACCACCACCCCCCCATTCACAAGTGTGGGTGGACTAAACTGGAGAAGACATGAAATGTCTCCGCGTGCTGTAACACGTATGCTGCACTTGGACTCTCCCTCTCTCTCCTCTCTGACACTTCATTATTTACTTTTAGTTTGTCATCATCATTTTCTCATCCCCCGTCAAATGAAGCATATTAGCGAGGTTTTGCTCCTGCTGTGATTTATTCCAATGCCAGCTGCTTCGGCTTGACCACACTGCCCCCTTCAGGGGGCAACCTGCCAATGCAGATCAACACGGCTGGCAGGTCAAAGCAGATATAAAATCAAATCATTTATCAAATAAATTAAATACCGTGTGGAACAACTCGGCATACTGGAGGTGAGCCACAGAGAATGAAACTAACACGTCCCCTTTGAGTCACGTCAACATTGTAGCACAGGTGAGGTAAGGATGCATGAGTGAAAGTAAAAGAAGTTAAAAACCTGCTATTGTATTTACCCATTGCATATTTCAGGTAAAGTTAAATTCTTCTTTAATATCTCTAATTTTTCTTGGCAGTGAAATTTGGTTTCCACATTCCACAGTTAAAAGGTATGCGATGAAGAGTCCCCGCGAGACCAAACGAGTTCCTTCCTCGCGTGTAATTTTTTTTTAAAAAGCGCTCAGACAAACATTGAACCTCCACTGGAGCTGGAACGTTCCACAGCGTCTGGCTTTCCCCGACCCGGGTTCATGTTTCTCACAGCTTTATATTGTCTTCCCCCGCCATCAATCATCCCTTATCCTCCGACGTCTAACAGTTATTGCACATGCGAGCGAACTGTGCTGGTGTCCCGTCTCCGTGGAGGACAAATGTCCATCCCTCACGTGCCCCACAGCTCCAGACTGAAAGAACTCAACGACGTCTCGTTGCCGCTCCAATGTGGTGAAAATATCTTCACTGGTTTATTCTCATCAACTTCACCTTCACTTTTCTATTTCTAAACGTTAGCAATTAGCATTATGTAACAAATAAAGACGGTGAACACTGTAAACATAAAACCGGCTACTTGTCGGCATATTAGCATTGTTCTTATTAGCATGTTTCCCATGCTACAGTTAGCGTTTGGCTAACGCTAAGGGAGATAAACATATTAAGGATGTGTTAAGGATGATGTGTTGCTACATAATATCTATATCCATCAGTCAGATTGGTCAGAGATGATCCGTCCACGTCTCTGTCTCTGCTCCATATCTACTTGGTGCTGTTTTTGAACCCTCGGTTTGAACCCTCCGCTATCAGCCCCCCCGGGGGGGGGACGAGTGAAGGCTTCCATACGCCACGACAGACGTAACCGACTCGAATTAAACGCGACTCATCCAGAAATGACTCATCACTTTTCCAAAGAGTCAGAAGCCACTTTAATTCTCCTTTAATCCAAACAACGTTTTTGACATAAACACAAGTTCATTCCCGTCGCCTCAGCTAATTAAACAAAAGTCACGTGTCCAAAATAAGTCCGCCGCATTCATCCCCGACGTCGTTTTCGTGCAGCGTTCCACCTGCGTTTTACGGCCCTCGCCCCTCGCTGTCACGTCGCTGTCATCGCGGCCCCGAGCGGTCCGATCCCCGAGTGGCAACATATTCTGCTTGCATGAAGTGCATCGGGGCGGAAAAGGTCCCGCCAGTTAACGTTCAACCAGAGCGAGGGAAGTTTCCGAGGGAAGCCTGGCGTTGAACATGGCCCCCGCGGCGCCATTGTTGGAGCCGTCTTTGCCAGCAGCTGCGACGTGTGAATCCAGCAGCCCATCGCTCGCGCCGAAGCTCAGCCTTTTAGTGGATATCATTTGTTTCTTTTACAAGCTGTTTTGCAGTAAGGGATGATGGGATAAATCTGCGTGACTATTTGAGGTCCTGCTTGTACGTGTGTGAAGTTTACAGTTTTTTTTTTCATATCAACCCGGGGGGGAGGGGGCTTTACTTTAAATACTGTAGGTTATGAGGCAGTGGAGGAATAATAACGGCGCTGATACAAGAGCTGAGTCATCTGTTTTGATCCAAATAGTCGTTTCTAGTAAAAATAACAAGAGAAAACATATTTAGCCTTCAGTGACTTTTTCGCTGGTGCTAATGACGCACAATATGTGTTTGAAAGACAAACAATCCGGTCCTGCCGTCACTGGTGGGGGGGATGGATGGATTTAAACAGAGCTGAGGGGGTTTCTTAAATCAAACATGTTTGGGAACCAATGGTTTATATGACAGTATAATGATGCTCACATGGCTGTGACCCAAGAGGCACCCAGAGGTTATCCGTGATTCACCCGGATAATGAGCGCCATCACTTAGGCCTGTCACCCGCTCGGCTTCCCGTCTCTGGCTGATATTTGCAGCCAGCGAAGCGTAGCCGGGCGACATGAGTGGTAATCCCATTCCACTCGGCGTCGCACGTCGCTGGAAGCAAATGACTGCCTGGACGCTTATTCAGCGTGGCGTTGCAGCAGAAGATCATTAAATGGCTTTAGATTCGTAAGTGCCGCCTCACGTTTAAATGCACCTGAAGACCCTTTTGCCGAAGCTGGCTTTGCTTTCATACTTGCCCGAGGGATCAAATGGAAAGCTACAAAAACAAGAGGGTTTTATTGTGCACCCACAGACCGGCCTTGAGTTCATCATCCTTAAACAACAACAATTATTTATTATTTATTTTGTTTCTGAGTAATGACTGTCGTAAACAAAACCCTTTTCCATGACAATTACGATCTGGAAAGTGGAAATACCCTAGAGTATCTCTATAAGGCCTTGGCACAACATAACGAAAGATGAATGTAATGCTTCGGATTAGTGGGGCACTAAAAGTGGTTGAGGTGGTATCGATAAATAAATGAGAATAAAACCCAGATCTATCTACGGCGGTTCAGTGGCATCGCCACAGATTCACCTGCACAGTTTGCATTGCAAATGTCTCTTTGGTGCATGTCTTCATCACATGACCCCCCCTCCCCTCCATCTATTTCCTCAGTTGTTCAGAGGCAGTCGGGGCACAGTGCCACTTGTCCGGGCAGGTGAGCTCTGCAGGGACACAGTCTGCGGTGGGACGGGTCGGAGCCGGCGCAGCTGAACAGCAGGGGCTCCTGTTGCAGCGCACAGTGTCGGCCCCAAGGGCTGTAGGATGGGAACAGGTGGTTGGCTTCCCTCCCCATGCTGGAGCAGCCTATACTGAGTCTGCAACGTGGGAAATGAGAGGGCAGAAATGATGAATTATTACATGGCGACTGGCGAAAAACAGCTTTTGTGTGCCCGCGGATTCCTCACCTGGCGAACGCAGCAGGTCCGTTTAGGTGGTGGAAAAGGGCCGGCTCACACACGAGGGAGGACCGTCGACACACACTAACGCATGACTGACCCAGGGGACCCAGATGCATCCTCAGAGCGCTTTCTGGGGGCCAAGTAGGGGCAGATTTACTGCAGAAATTCTGCAGGGATTTAAGAGAAAGAAAGTTGACATATCAGGGAGTTTGAACCAAACAACAACTGAATGGTTTCTCTTGTATCTGAAGAATAGTGTCCTTGAAATGAACATCGTGCCGAATCTATCGGTCTAGTTTGGTAGAAGTGTTAGGGAACTAAGCCAGAGGTGCACCCCTAGTGGTGGAAACTATAATACGTGTAATAATGTTTAGTGTTAGAATTGTAGTTTGTGATGTTAGATATTAGTTATTACATTAACATGTTAGATGAAGTGAATGCAATTTGAATCAAACACATTTAAATCATATAAACACTGTACACATTAACATTCTGTCACGATGTGATGTTAAAACCTGGGGACGGATGCTAATTGCCGTCCTTTATGGATTTCTCCCAATTTTATCCCCAAAGAGGGTTTTTGGGGAGTTTTTTCTCCTGTCAGGTAGTAAATGAACAACTTAATGCAACTATGTATGCTTTGTTATATTCACTCATTGCGGCATAAAGCCAAATGTATCTACATTGAATGCGTTGAATGTGAGGGACAGATGGACAGCGAGGTTTCAGGTTGCAGCTGCAGCTTCACACCTCGACGTGAAGGGGACAATGATGGAGGACACCTCAAGAGTTCTCAAAGGACCAAAGCGGGGAAAGGACTGTTTGATAAGTCGCTTTAGACTTGCATCAGAGGATTCTCTATTTCGCAAAATATTTTACTGTTCGCTTTGTGTTTCACTTTGTAATTGTATTCCTTATAACGTTGTTTAGTTATTAAATACTTTTTGATTTTTGAATTTAAGCAAGCTGACTCGTTTGATTCTTCGTTTCCGGCCCGGGACGAGAACAAAGGAGTGAGGCCTCCCTCGATCGCTTTCCCAAACCCTAACAAAAGGAGCAACAGGTCTGCATCTCTGTACCTGGTGAGCAATATATCCTCGAAGCCTCTCCAGCATCCCCTCACAAGTGAACTCTGGGGGAGTGAAAGGCTTCACCTGCAAAAAATAACCATGCAATGTGGAGATTTACAGGTTTGTAACGTGTGTCTATGCATATATACACTGTATACTGTATGTTTCTGCAGTCATTACCTGTGTGAGGAGGATGGCTCTGGCTGCCTCCCTCACATCAGTCCTGTTGGTCACATCCACGGTCCACACGTGAGGCTTTCCGATGAATTCCTCGGCGTAAGGGTGCTGGGAGGAAACCTGTCACCCAAAGTCATTTTCTGTCTTTAGCTCTAAGAATTGATTCAGTTCACTGTGGATATGTCAGATCTGCGTGTCATTTACCTTCCTGGAGGTGGGCTTCCCTTTGTAGAAATCGTTGTTGTCTGCCGAGTGGGGGGGGTGAAGTCGTGGCTGCAGGAAGACACATCCCAGGGCTATGGCCTCAATTGGGGCCGGCCCCTCATATGGGAACCCGAGACCTACAAACACCTGCAAGGGAAGACGTGTCCTTTTGTATCTTGGATCTAACATAAACACAGCAGGCGGGACGAACGCACGAGCACAGTGACGCAGGTCACAAATCTACTTAAACTACCGATACACTTAAAAGACCCAGATCATTATCTGACCTTGGCTCTGCGTAAAAGCTGGACAAAGCGTTCCTGAGTCAGCAGGCCGTGATTTCGGATGAAGCCGGGCAGATTGGAGGCGAGCCCTGGAGGCTGGTAGACCGTAGCATGGGTCTCCATCTCGTCACTGATCGCCTTCACATACTCAGATTTGCCCTGGCACACACGCGGAAACATACGCAGGACATCTTAGGACCTTTTCAAATCCATGCACTTTTAATCCGATTTGATCATTTTACCTGCCACATATAGTCTTGTTTGCCGTAGATGACCGCTATCCGCTCTTTCCTGTAGCTGTCCTCCCTCGCCGCCTCTTCACTCACAAAACCCAGGAAGGAGTTATCAGGAGTGTGAGCTGGAGGGCAGATCACAGAGCACCTTCACATTTGACTCGGAACAGGAACATTACCGAAGAACACAGTCCAGAAATATAGTGCGAGAGGAGAAACACGCTGAGCGGTATAAATCGCCTGCTGAGCAAAACGAGGGGTTGACCTCTGGTTGTTTAGACGGGCAGCTGCCACCCGGCTGGCGTCCAGCGCACTAAAGAAGGTGTGAAAGATGAGTATTTACTTTAATAGGAATGTGCTGCCGGCAAAGGTTTGTGTGTGTGTGTGTCTGTGTTTTCATTCCCACGGTGTTCTTGTTTAAAATACGTTTTTTTTTTGTTTTTTTTTACCAAACCTTCTCATCCTCTTCCACCGGCTCTTTTCCAGCCCCATTTGCTCCTGCGTGTCTCTTACACCCGCCTAATCAGATCAGCGGAGACATTCACGGGGAGCTGTGAGGGAGAGAATCGCTTCTTGGTTTTAGAGGATTTCCGTTCCTCTGCGCTCCTCTTCCCCCGTTTCAACACAGGAGCACAAACACCCGCCCTGCTCTTTTCTCCAACTTCTTCTTCTTCTTCTTCTTTTTCCGTCTGCTTCCTGTGACTTGGTGTCTCTCTCTCTCTGCCCCGTTCCCAACCATCAGCTCACATCCATCCCTGTCTCCTCCCCCCCCTCCCACAGCAGGACAAATAAACAGTGTTTCAGGCTGAGGCATGAAGAGTGGCTCTCCGCCCAGTGGGGCCAGCTTGCCTCCATCTCCCGGCAGGGTGGGAAAGACGGCACAGAGAGGCGTTGGAACGAAGGCTGCGTCTGGGCACAGTTTATTTAACCGCGGCTATTAATCCTCTCAGTGGGAGGACGCGCAAAGATGTGCACGTAATGGATCGCTGCTGCTGATGCGAGGCGTAAATATGTCTGGGCCTGTGAGCTGAGTGGAAGGTAATGCGTTTCTGGATCAATGTGCTGGACTGTCTTTGTGTTTGCACGATTGCAGACTTGCACAAACACGAAAAGTGAACACGCAGACTTACGGAACATGGTCAGGTACTGCAGAGGCTGCAGGCCCCAGCTTCCCCACAGCGTTTCATACCCACGGCTACGCGCATAACTCCTCAGGTTAAAGGCCGGTTCGGTGCCAAAAGAGTCGAGGATTCTGAAGCGACATCTGCAGTGATAAAAAGAAGAAAAGTGCTTTATAGCATTTAACCCTTTAATGCGTAATCATTTGTCATTTTCTATTGTATTTCAGGGTTTAAAGGGATGTTATTTCATTTAATATAATCATTAGAGAAATTTTATAAATCTTTTTATCCACCATTTTTTATTAGTTATTATCACAAATACATGAAACAAACTTGTGGCTTATTGCAAAAGGTCAAGCTGTAAAACACACCTAAATACCGATTTATTCTGACATAATTATGTATTTAGAAAATTGGGGTCGTACTGGTAATGCGGGAAAGCCATTCCCATGGCGCCATGTAGGTGAGCGAGGCCATGGTAGTCGGTGTAGATGAGGTCAAAGGTCAGGGGCCTCTGAATTGGACAACTGCCTCGTCCTGGCGCAGCACCTATCAGGCTGGTGTCACAGCAGACGGTGATCTTTTCACTCCACAAATCAAACACGTGTTGTGATGCGCGGCGCACACGTAGTATTCAGCGTGAAGGGACAGTGACCTGTGGAGGAGTCGGCGTGAGGTGCTGAAGGTCAAGTTGTGGCCCAGGATGGTCAGACAGGCGCCGAGGTCGGCCCACTGCACCAGCTCCCCCAGGGGCCCCCCTCTGTCCACCAGGGCCTCAAACCGCCGGCCAACACTGCCGGCCAGGGCCCCGGGGTAAAGCAGCACCTGGAGGACGGGAAGTCACAAAGTCCCGAGTCCATCTCTAATTGATGCCGACGCGGCAGTTTATCACTTTAGTTTTCATCCGAATCCTAAAAAAGTTATTTTTAGACGACTTCTGAACGTAATATCTGGGTGTTTATACCCTCATCTGGGTCGGGAATGTCTCGTTGCTGCTTTGCCTCATCCTCAGAGCAGCCCGTGTCCACCGCTCAGACATCCTCCCCACTCTGGACCGGATGAAGTCCACTGCAGGGCCGCCGCTGCTGCTGATGACCTCGTACAGTGGGCTCAGGCTGGTGCGTACCTCCGCCTGTGTGCCGAAACGACGGCGGACTCGCGCTTCAGTGGAGTCGGTCACGAGCTGAACCATTTGACCCCCGACACACAATGCCATCGGCCTGTCGCGTTACCTTCCCGGGGTCGGAGTGAGGTTTGCGGCGCCATGGCGGCACAGAGTGGTTTCCTCCAAGACGAAGGGGACAAAAGTCCTCTGTTTGGCTGAGGTACGTCAATATGGAGCAGGTGGTACCATCCACCCCGTAAAAGGCGTAGCAGGGGTCTGTGTGCCAACGCGCCCGCAGGAACTGCCAGAAAAGCCAATGTTAAATCAGACAAAATAACGAGGCACCTTTTTGGTGATGCACAGTGCACATAACATGCTACACAAACATGCAATATCCTTATACCCATTATTTGAACATGCCATTCCCATGATCAGCTCACATATGGTGAACTAAATATCAAACTGAAAACTGTGAGTTGATTTAAGCACTTCAATGCAACCATAACATTGTGCGCTAGGTGTGATTAGGCTCATTCTATAATTACCACTTCCTCACCTCCACTTTCTCCGCACACAGCGGATACGCACGATCCGCTGGCACTTCACACTTCTCCTCGGGCCCTGCGGGTGAGGAATTAGCCGTTAGCGCGGTTTCCCTTTGAATGCATCATTATTCCACGGCCCTCGCCTTAGTAACAGAAACCACATTGTGCGGTTGAGTCGCCGTGGTCATAAAGAACAGCGGACAATAACTCTGATATACAACCTCTCAAACGAAATATCCTCAATGAGTAGCAGGCATCGGCTCCGTGCATAGCGCTGCCATGCATGTAAGAGGCATTAGAGTAGAGGCAGTGTGTTCTCAGAGGCCCCTTCCAGTAAGCCCCCCCACCATCTCCAGCCAATGTCAATCAACTGGAGTGAACACACACACACACACACACACACACACCTGAGCCACCTGCCTGCAGCCACACACACCCTTTTACAATGCTAGTTCCTGCCAAAATACGCAGCCCTTCACTATGTCAAACAACATAGTGAAAAAGAAACGTGAGAAAAAAAGATAAACCTGGAGCGAAGGTGTGAAGGTCCGAGTACAGAGACGTGTACAGAGACCCGCTGCAAAAACAAGAGTAGGAGCAGACAGGTTGGTGAAAGGACTCCTGGGTAAATCAGCCCTGTTTTATGGGAGTGAGGTAATGTGAGAGGAGGGCAATGGTGAACAGGCTGGTGACGGGGAAGCGTGTGTTTGTGCGCTTGCGGGTGAGATGTGCGCACGCACACGCACCCCTGACATGTGCACAGTGTGGTGTGTGTGTGTGTGTGTGTGTGTGTGTGTGTATGTGTGTGTGTGTTTAATGGACACACACTGCATAACCCAACTCTCACCTGACACCTCTCACGAGGGTCGTAGTGTAAACGTGAACTTTTCTTCCTCCCCGCGGCCAGTTGCTCGCCACCGGCTCTGAGGGACTTGTTAAACTTCTATTCAAGGACTTCATTCCCCATAACCACCTGCACCCAGCGCCCTTTAACCCCCCCCCCCCCCCCCCCACGCCCCCACCCTATTCACACCCTGCATTATCGCAGCTTGTTAATTTCACTGTGTGGTTAACCTCCATTCAGGCTCTGAACCATGCATTTGGCTCCGGGTATCACACTACCAACTGCAGTAAACCACCGAAAAGCGAAAAGCTCGCGGTCATTCGAGCAGGCAACATTGGGGGGGCCCGGGGGGGGGGTATTTATCTTGTGTAACACAAATGTTTAAGCACGCACCCTGAAATCTATATTTTGGCTTGGACAATGAGCTGCTTCAAGTGCTGCTAAAATGAAAACTAAAGTAGAAAAGACTCAGATGTCATACAAATAATAATAAAAAGTCTTTCTTTTTAATCTAATCTAATCCCAGAGATCCTCCATATCTGCTTGCATCTGAATCTAAGGGAAAGAGTGAGCTAGAAAACCCATACATGGCTTACAGGAAGGAGGTCAAAATCCCTTTAACCTCCCCCCCAACACTAAAAACAGAACACATCATTCAGAGAGGTTAAAGGTGACAAAGGTCCTTCACCTGCGTGTGGCCTGAGGTCATGTGATGCAGTGCGAGACAGGCGGCTGAGCTGCTCCAGCCTCTGGGACACTCTCCTCAGCTGCTTCTCCACCGAGCGCGTTAAGCCTCGCTGGTCCAGTCTGAAGCTGCGAAGCAAAGCGGACAGCGAATACAACACAAAGTCGCACGCTGTCGTCCGGAAAGAGTCCAGGGCTGAACAGGCTCTCACCTTCGCAGCATCCGACTGAGATCGTCTCCGCCGGGCCGGGCGGCGCCGCCTCTCCCTCCGCTCAGCCGCTGCACCTGAGTGCTCAGAGCCTCCAAGCGGAGCGCCAGCCTGCGAAGGCCGAGGCCGCGCTGACCTGCGACAGGAAGCGTGCACAACGCGCCGCGTCTCACACAACGTATCACATTCTGCAGCATAATGTTTGTAATGTAAGTAGGAAGACTTTGTATTAAGTGATCTAGGCCCGTGTCTCGTGGGACGTTAGCGGTTTCTCATTCTATTTCCACTGATCCGCTGCATTTATATTTTCATGTGGGCCCAAACACACACACACACACACACACACAAAGGCACCTGCATTCATGTAGACATCCTGTGTGTTTCCTGCAGGCTTTTAGACCGACGCCTGAAGGTTGAATTCAAGCTGCTGACCTCAAGCTATTTACAAACAGCACATTTACATTGATTTCCCTCAGCGGTGCCCCAACCTTTCGGCCCGTTGACCCCTTGAAACCAACAACACTTCATCCCTTCATGAATGACCTTGGCTGCGGAAATGAGTTGTAAACTCATTATCTTACCAAAGGAACAACACAACAAATACATTCAAAAGACACACTGTCAAAACCTCATGTGGCCTTAAAATACACATATGAATGTATATTTCCTTAATCTACAGTACTCTAACCTGAAGTAGTGGTGTCACACATCTTTACCAGACATCGCACTACTGTAAAAACAGTGAACGTGGGTTTTAAAAGCCTGCTGGAGGGGCTCAAAATGAGCTATTTGGGATCAAGGAGGTCTTGACTGAAATCACACAGTGAAGGAGGAATATTGAGTGTTTTATTGGCTTTGAGGTCAGAGTAAGGATCTCCTTGAGGGCTTAAAGCCACAACCTGTGCTACACAGTAAAATGCACCAGATCGGTGATGTCACTTCGACGCTGTTTACTCAGCTGACCGTCAGCATAACGCCGTCAGGGGCCCTTTTGGGCCCTCGGGACCAGGAGGGGCCCTGTAACAAGGTAATACCCCCCCGTAGGGGGTACCTATAGGGCCGAACCATTGCAATGCTCGTAAATGCAGGGCTTACATATAGGAACGCGTGTGTGTGTTACTTCTCATGTACATGGTAGACAATATGAGGGAAGCATCTGTGTGTGTTGAGTCTTCTCTTATTATCCTAATGAAGCCGTTTCTTAAAATAATTCTCGGTGGCAAGAAAAGAAAATTATATTTTCATACATTCTGAAACGGATTCATAGAAAGTCTGTCACTAAAGATTTTCCAGCTCTGTTTTAAGTAAAAGTGTATGTGCTTATCAACCATCTTATGGTGGCTACTTTTGCAGATCGTGGAGTAAAATCAAGTGCATGACTGGGTTTCTAGAAGGGAACACTTCCATGACCTCCTGACAAACATATGATGATGTCATAAGAAGACATCTGGGAGAGGAGCGGCGCCAGAATATGCTAATTTATTCCTTGGATGCAAAAAGAAAAGAATGCCGATTTTAGGGAAAGAAATATGCTGCATTGTCTCTTTGTAAACCGGGAACAAAGCTTTTGTCCACATTCCCGTCTCCTGGCCTCATTGGAACAGGGGCGTCTGTCAGCCGTATGAGGACCCACCGGGAAGTGTGCACACCGAGGTGATGCGTGTTGATTATTCATTCATGGGCTTACCTCGTTCCTCGGGTGACCTGCCGGCAGGTTCCTCCAGGGTCGTCTCAAGTGGAACCCAGAGGGTTTGCAGCAGCAGGGTGAACACAGACAGGCACAGGCAGAGCACCAGACAACCGCTAGAGGGCGCAATACACAGGGAGACCTCTGGAATCAATGCAACGCCACTCATACGCTGTTTAAACGTATTCAAACTATTCATTTTGCGTTCCTCAGTACTGCATTTCATCAAAGCTGCAGGCCACTCATCACGTTGGTTGAGGCCATGAACGGAATGAAAAAGCAGCTGTTGAGTTGTGCAGGGGGCATCATTACAAAAAACATAATACTTTGTGGTGGTTGAATATTTACTGCAAGTGATGTCCAGCTCCACGCGAAAGGAAGATTACAACTACAATCAATCACGCACCGGGCAGGGCTTAGTCAACCCGGCTTAACACTCACTGTGACGCAGCACTCCGACCCGTCAGCTGTCACAATGACAATAACAATTGTTCAATGCAGAAAGCCATGCAGAGGCAGGCAGGTGCATCGCTTTCTTGCATATTTTTTTTACGACACGCTGCCCCCCCGGACCCCTCGCTGCTGAGCCTTACCTGCGCGGCCGCAGTGCAACGTGCATGGCCCTCTGTGGACGGGATGCTGGAGCTCACTGTCAAACAAGCACATTGCAAACGCCAGAATGTTCTACAGGCTTTGTGGTGAATGGATAGTTAGAGAATATCCTGTGACACCACTCAAACCATCTTCAACTCCCGTCTTTGGATTTAACGGTAGTTTCTTTACGTTGCAAACAAACGGTAACACTTTCGAATTAATTGATGAATCTAAAAAGCATAAATAGGTTTAAAGTAATGTTATTAACATTGTGTGTTTGTGAATGTGTGAAACATTTTGTTAAACCGACGACAATGCTGAACCTAAAAGCTAAACCGACCTGCTGCTGTGGGTCAACGTGTTGCAGAAACCGAGATGACAACAGCTCTGCTTGCAAAACAAACCGGCACACGGACAAGCGCACACAACAGACACACATCCTCACCTCCTCGGGGCTCCGTGCCGACCCGCTGGGGACCGTCGGGCCTGTTTACAAAACACACAAGCCCCCAAAAAATAAAGAAATAAAGTTGGGGCCGGCCAGTATCTTGCCTCCTCTTTTGTCTCTTTTGGGGTCTCTTTCCCTCCTTCGGCGGCTGTGCCTCGTCTCTGTGGCCCGGGACCTATTGGGCAGGCATCCTGCCGTTGTCAAGGTAACCTGACTCCCCTTTAAAGGAAACAATAGCCAGAGTGCTCCTCGGGCCTTTCACGGGGTACAATGGAGCCCACGCTATTGGGTGACGCGGTTCCTTTCAGCCGGGCTTTTTAAGCCTCTCGCCTGTGAGCCGATGGCCGAGCAGGGAGCTCATTTAAACCTCTGACACTAAATCACACAATACAGACAAAGGGCAGTACTAATTTAATGTTAGTAACAAAAGTGGGCACAATAATAGAGCCGGGAAATCACCCGGTGGAAACTTTGTTGATAGCATTTAAAGTTAAGTAAATTGCACTTTTTGTGTTTTGAGACAGTTGCCAAATAATTGAATCAGACCACAAGTTGTTTCATTGGAGGTTTAAATGGGATCGTAAATACTAGAATGACAATGTGTGAAAGAGGGAAAGACACACACGCGTTTTCAGATGCTTTAATTTTTTTTTTAAGTCAGAATGCTGGTTTATTAAATCATATGCAACTTGCACATTGGATGACGAGTGCCACACAGATTGACCAAAGACCAGCGTCTTCCAGGTGCCGAGGAGCCACTGGAGGTGCACGCTGGGAACCTCTAGTGGCTCAACCAAAGGAATCTAACTCTCAACTCAAATGAAAGCCTTTGTTTTTTTCTAAACCCTGTGTCAAACCCGACATCCCAACCCGCGCACTGCGCTCTGCAGCGACCAAACTGCTTGTTCCTCCCTCACCGAGAGCAAAACACTCGACAAGACCACGACGCTGTCCTGCCTCCTAAATGGTGGAATGAGCTCTGATGACATCAGGACCACGGAGACACACCTCTTCAGACTCTACCTTGACTAAAAGACAAATTGTGGCAGTTATAATGGCTCTTATCTACAGAAATTTGTGAGTCGGCTTAGTTGATGAAATTGCGCTCGTTTCTTGTTCTTTTATCCTTATGGTTGAAATGCACTTATTGTAAGTCTCTTTGGATAAAAGCGTCAGCTAAATGACCGGTAACGAAATATAATGCAAACAGCAAAATAAATACAAGAGAAGCTACCAAAACAAAATCTTTTTCAATTTGACTTATAAAAAAGGGTGATCATGAGATCACAAGATGTCAAAGGCTCCGAGACCACTTAACTAATTAACAACATCCCAGTCAGATAAAGATAGTGTGTCACTCAATCAGCTGACACACCGCGATGACACAAACAGGGAGTGCATCAATATATAGGCCAGGGACCGGTTTGGAGTCCAACCCCCCTCTTGGGAATGCATGGTTACAGGATACCACTGGACTATCGTGTGTAATTCTTAATCTGATCCAAGAGGATTGGTCCGATTCTGCAGGAATGGTTTCAGATCCCGTGTTGTTTTAGGTGTTATAGAATATAGAGCGTGTGTATTAACGTGCACATCTATGCCACTGCATGTGTGCACGTACACGACAGATAGGAGGACGGGTTACTGATGTCATGCAGTGAGCAGCAGGATTTGAAGAGCATATAAACCTCCATGAACTCTGTTATCTCCTCCCCTTCATAAGCTTTCTCTCTCTCTCTCTCTCTCTCTCTCTCTCTCTCTCTCTCTCTCACTCTCTCTCTCTCTCTCTCTCTCTCTCTCACTTGCTCAGTCTTACTCTCTCGTAGGTTTTTTTGCCAAATCCAGGATGTTTTCCTCACGTTTTGAACAGTGGAGACAAAAGTCACGTGAAATAATAACAATGAAATGGTGTTCCTGTGGCTTCTCCGGATCACGTGACATGGTTGCGGTTCTCTTTTTTTTAAAGCAGTCACATGGATGATGCACTGAATCAATATCACAAAGAAGATTACTTGCACATCTCTACTGCACAGTATCAGACACGTTCTTTTTCTGCCATTGCAATACCAAGCAGGTCATAGTGAATGAGGACATTAAACTCATCAGCAGTGTTTAGGCCCAAACAACATTTTGTCCTACGTTGTTCATGAAGCCAGTGGTGGATCCCCAATTGAATTACCAGTAATAACTGTCATGCGTTGGGGCGGCTGTGTTGTGCCGGTTGCTTTGAGCACAAAGGCAGGGTCTGTTGCCCCTGTTAGTCTCCGGCCTACACTTCCGTGCCATCGCTTATTTGACGGAGCAAGTATGCAAGTAAACAAGGACACTGTGATGTGCCGTGCAACCTCTTCAGATTACGCGCTCGGCGCAGACAGCAGGACGCGATCACACAATTGGGGGTTTGTGGCATTTCTTTAAAACTCCAGATTATGTTATGAAAGTTTGCGCATTTGTGAGTAGAGTTGACTGCAGGATGGAATATATATATATAACACTTATTTTATTTGTTGTTTTCCATTCGTGTGAATGAACGCGTAACATATATTTAAATACGTTTACATTTAACATATTTAATATCAGTCCACCTGAGCTCGCGCAGAGCGCCCGCGCGGGCAGAGCGAGCCCGGAGGCACTGCGCATGCGCGAGGCAGCTCCCCACCTGAATGGTGCTTCGCGTCTCAAGACGTCTCGCGTCCAGGTGAGGACATCCCGTCACTCGGGTTATAGGTCGCCCGCGGGTCCGCGGTCGTGTGCGGCTGGAGGTGAGTCGTGCTCCCGTCGCCGGGGTTCGGGCGGTTTAAACGCGCCGCTTTCCTGCAATTTCAAGCTGAAATCTCCTCACGTCAGTGAAGTCCGGTTGGCAGCTGGTCGCTAGCATTCGTGCTCGCTAACGTTAGCCAACATATTATATATGTATTGTTTTGTTTGTTCTGCATTTGCATGGCTTCGTTGTTGTGTTGCGTTGTCTGACAGCTAGCGGTGTGTGTGTGTGTGTGTGTGTGTGTGTGCGCGCGTGCGCGCGTTTCACGTCACGTCAGCCACTCGCGCGCGCACCCAACGGTAGCAGCTCGCGGCTAGCTGAAGCTAGCGCCGCTAACTTGGCCAGTTTGAATGGGAAAAGCTCGTGTCAGATTCACCGGGTCGCCGGGTGACAGACGCCGCGTCGGTACCCGATGCCGGCGGCTTTCTGTCTGCACCCGTTTGGCGTCCACGGTCCACTTTAAATCCCCCCCGCAGCGGCTCTGCTCGGCGTGCACACGGCGACCTGAGCGTCAGACGTGTGCGCGATGGGAGCTGCTCGTCCCCTTCGCGTGGCGCACGGGTTTAGCGCAGCTGTCCCTTTCTCGTCGGCCGTGCAGCCTCCACGTGCATCATGTAAGTAGGCTAACATGTCTCCCGGATGAGGACGGGGACCTGCGGCCATGTTAGCAGGAACAGAGCTCCATCCCCTGCACCCCTGTTATGGCCTTCATGTACCATCTATGTGGTCTAATGTATACCAACATGTATTGGCATTGTCCGATTCTAAGAACGTATTAAATGCAATAATATACGAAAGAGCTATTTTGCTGGTCTGGATCGCCAGTTTACACCATAAGATGCATCTGATTGTGCGTCTAGTATTGGTTTGCACCTTCATGTGACTTGTTGAAAGGCAACGTGAAATGATGAAATGTGAATGATTTTTACGACGGTCATTTTTGGCATATTGCAAGTGATCTTTGGACAAACGTCTCCATGTGACTCAAAACAAGTCTGTGATGATTTGATGAGGTGTGATAGTTTACTACATTGCTCATCTATTTCCTCTCTCCGTATCTCAAGTGAAGATGATGTAATCTAAATTTACTGCCGGTCAACTTTTACAGCACAAAGTTTTAGTTTCTCTCACCGCCGGAGATCTGTTTTGTTGCTTTAATGTCAAACAGTCCGATGCCACTGAAATCTGTCCACAACAATATGTGCATCACAGGACGTACGAAGTTATTTGTGGCTTTCAGTTGATATTAAGATACCTTTCCACTACATTCCATTGTAAGATGTTTTCGCTTCAGATGACTTGCGTGAGAACCAGTACATACTCTCTTCTATTTGAAGATCTTAAGAACATACAATCTAATTAGTTAAATTTGCTTATGTGGTTTCACAGTGCAGATTAACTGGAGTCACTTTGCAATATGTCCGGTCTAACTTGCTGCAAATAACCTCTTATGGAAACAATAGTGTGCAATAGTGCGTCTACGTCTGTCCTCTGCTCGTTTATATCGTAGTCTAGAAGCTGGTAAACGGGAGCAGTTCGCTTGGAGCAAATCTCAAAGGACTTGTTTAGAACTTGTATTTTTTTTTCTTTGATACTGCTCGGTATGAAACATAAATGGATCAATTCCTTTTGTTTTTATATTCCGGTGCTGCTGGAAGTGACGGATTTCGTCCCATTTCTTTTGTGTCTTTCAGTAACTATCATGGACAGTTAAGGAGGACGGAAGCTTAACGAAAGCCCGGAGCGTCCCTCCTTGCTCGACCAGCAAAGTTGCCATCGCCATGGCCGAAGAAGACTATGGCACCTTTGTGGACTGGAGCCAGATGGGGGACCTGGCCCAGAGCAGCGGGCCCACCAAGGTCGACTGCAAGGACCTGAAGGCGTTCAAGCAGATGGCTCGGCAGGGTTACTGGGCCAAGAACCACAGGCTGCGAGCGCAAGTCTACCAGCAGCTCATCAAGGCCCTTCCCTGTCGTACGGTCACCCCGGATGCAGAGGTGTATCGCGACCTCGTGGGAAACGCGGCCGCCAAGAAGCCCTCCTCCCACATCCCGCTTCCGGAGTTTGTGGACGGAAGTCCTCTGCCGCGGTACTGCCTGAAGGCGGAGGCGGTCGCCTCGGCTCATCGGGTCATCAACTGCGTGGCCGGACAGTTCCCGGACATCTCCCACTGCCCGTCCCTCCCGGCCGTCACCTCGCTGCTCCTGCACTTCAGCGCCGACGAGGCCCAGTGTTTCGAGCTGGTGAGCCGCATGCTGTCCTGCAACGAGCCCGGCAAACGCCTGCTGGACCAGACCTTCCAGGCCCACGAGTCCAGCTGCATGACCTTCGGGGACCTGGCCAACAAGTACTGCACCGCTGCCCACAAGATGATCGTGGCCACCGCCCAGGACGTGCTGGACGTGTACTCCGACTGGCAGCGCTGGGTGCTGGGCGACCTGCCCTTCGGCCACATGGTCCGGGTCCTCGACATCTACCTGGTGGAGGGCTACAAAGTCCTCTTCCGCGTGGCCATCGCCTTGCTCAAGTTCTATCGCAAGCATAACGCGGAGGCCCAGGGCGCCGCCGAGCCGGATTCCAACAAAGTCCGGGACGACATTCAAGCTTTCATCAAGGGCATTGGCTCCACCGTCACACCGGAGAAGCTGCTGGAGAAGGCCTTCTCCATCCGCATGCTCAGCCGCAAGGAGATCACCCTGCTGCAGCTCACCAACGAGAAGTCCCTGCAGCAGAAAGGCATCACCGTCAAACAGAAGCGGTACAGTCCATAATCACATCCGAATTCTGATAGCAGGCAGCGTCTTTTGGTTCTACTGTACATCAGCAACGGCACGGAGTCCATCGCGTGGTTGTCTCAGTGGACAAATGTGTTTTCGCAACCTCCGGGGCAACGGTGCCGCTCGACTCACATTATGTTCTTGTGTCCCTCTTTGTCTGGTTTCCGCCTTGTCTGTCCGTCCACCATCTTCTGTCTCATCCGCGCTTCACTCCTGTGTTTCCTACTTTGGTCATTGCTCAGTTCTCGGTGGGTTTTCCTCCTCCACGCCATTCTCCCGACCCGCATTTCTCATTTACTTACTTCGCATTCTGTGCCTCTCCGGCTCATCTTGCGTCTCGTTCCAGGCGGAACGTGCAGCTGGCGCTCAACCCCGACACCTTCTCCTCTGAGATCGTCAGTGCCAAGGAGATGCGGGACATCTGGTCGTGGATCCCTGAGCGCTTTGCCCTGTGCCAACCACAACTCCTCTTCACCACCTCCACCCACGGTTGCAGCCTGAACAGGTACGCTGTGCAGCGCAGCCCTCGTTAATTTAATCTCCGCGTTTGGCCGCTGCTGCTCACAGTTGACGCGTCGGGTCCTGCTTAGCGTTGAGTCCTTGAATTAAGTCATTCGTAAAAATCTGTTTTTTTTTTTTTAAATGAAATCAAAGCTGTAAGCTGAAAACTAAATATTTAATAAATTCCAACTATTGCTTCCTCCAGATTCTACTCTCATTGCGAAGGCTACGAGCCCACTCTGCTCCTCATCCGGACCACAGATGGCGACGTAAGCAACGCAAACTCATTATTGTGACCTCCGAAATGTGTGCATGAGATAAGACGACATCCTGATGCAATTCAATGTTCCTCCGGTGTTTAGACTCCGGCTAAACTATGAATAGGTGTCAGAGGTCATGTGATTGGATTACGGTGCTCGAAACGGATCTCGGCGAGCAGCGTGGCAGCTTACAGGACGCCGCGGTGTTCCAGCCGTAGTGAAGTGATGATGCAATGTTTCGGAGGATGAACCCGCCCGCTTTCCTTTTCTTTTGCCTCAGGTATGTGGAGCCTTCCTGTCCACGGATTGGGAGGAGCGGAAGAGGGGAGGCAACAAATTGAGCTTCTTTGGCACAGGGGAGTGCTTTGTCTTCAGGGTGAGTTCGTATTCACTATCTAGACCTACGGCATTTTTTTTCTAATGTTCATTAACTTCAGAGGTTTTGTTGCGATCGGTTGGAGGGAGAATGTTTTCATTTTGAGAGTGGAGCCACTAGAGGGCACCACCCACGCTGTTTTCACGTGCTAGGCGCCAACGGCAGGCTTCCGTTTGTGGAGAGACAAACTAATCCGAAGACAAGTAGGGGACGATTTTATCCCACACACGCATTGCCACGTCTGCACAAACACGCGCGCGTCCCGCTCCTGATGCTTTTCTGCTCTGAGCCTGGATTCCACCGCCTCGACTCTGCGAGGCCTTCTGCATGCATTATTAAACTGAGTATCGGTGTGGACGCACAGCCGCGTGCCGCCTGAGCCAGAAGACGCGTCGTCTCACGCACACGGATCGGAAGCCCCTGTAGCCTGAGCCAGCGGTGCCTGACGTGGCCGTCACCTGACACCAGGAGGGAATGGAGACGGTCAGCAACAGCTGATGCCTCTCAGATGTTTTTTTAATTGGTTCATTTCCCTTTGAGCCTTTTGTCGAAAAGCGTCTCATTGATGAATGCGCGGCACTGGTGTGCGACTGATCATGCAACGTCTGTCTCCATTGTCAGCTGAAGCCAGAGATGGAGCGCTACGAGTGGGTGGTGATCCGCCACCCTGAGTTGGCCTCGTCCAACAAGACTCCTGACCCTGAAGACGAGGCCGCGGACCCCCCCGGGGGGCAACAGCCAGACAGCAACGGCTTACAGCAGCCGGAGAGACCTGCTGGGGACCTGTCGCCCTTCCTCTCCGCCCGCCACTTCAACCTGAACTCCAAGAACACTTCCATGTTCATGGCCGGCAACTTTGACTCCATCATAGTGGGTGAGTGGGGTTTAAATAACGTGTCATTGTTGCGTTTTTGGTATCACTGCTCCCTATTTTCTCGTGCCGTACACAAACCGTTTGCTCTCGCGTGTTCAGGAGGAGGCGACGGCAACGCGCTCTACATCGACTCTGAGCTCAACCACGGGCGCGCCGGCCGCTGCGCCACCTTCGACAACCCGCCGCTGTGTGCCGAGAGCTTCCAGGTCGCACTGCTAGAAGTGTGGGGCTTCCAGGACGCCATGGCGCCATAGGGCCGTGCACATGAACGCACATTACAGTCCATACAGGCATAGACTCACATTGTAACACAGAAAACGATGATATGAAATGTCCCGCAAACACTTAGAGGTGGAAAACCGAAGTCCGTCCTAAACGTTCCTGTGTGATGGACCATTTTTTATTTATTAATGCAGTTAAAATCAGATTCAACATGGGAACAAAAATGTGGTGTTTTGTTTGTTTTTTCTGCTTTGTTTGTCATTACAGATTTGTATTCTGGTGTCTATGTTTAAGTGTGCAGTAATAAGAAGGAAGTCAACCAGAGCTCAAGCCAACATGAGGATTATTTAAAGCTCTCTGGTCCAATCGTGTTCATGCGGAGCTGAAATGTTTTGTGTGCTGTTGTTTAGCTCAATTTTGCCAAATTTATTGTATAGTTGTTAAAAAATATATATTACCAGGCCATAATGATCAGGATAAAATGTGTGTATTTGGAATGTTGTTCGATGTTGAAACTAAGATGAACTCAGTGCCGTCCGGGTTTGATTGGCTGTACATACACGGGAGACTGCTGATAAATCAATGTGGTAAATGTTTGTGGATATCATGAATTTGAGTGTTGCTATTTTGCACCAGAAGTCGACGCTTTCCTTTTGAACGAGCGGCACATTTAAAAGTATACGAGTTTTCATACGCATGCGAAGTACAGACTTTAAACAAAAAGTTAACTGGGGGTAAAGTAATGAAAAGCTCCTCCTTCTCGTCTTACTCTTTCCTGCCACTCCGTCCTTTGCAGCGTGAGGACGGTCCAGATTGGTGTCCAGTTGGGGATCTGCGCCGTTTCTTTGTGCATGTTTAACCTCGTGCCGCGGTGAGACCTTGCGTAACCACTAATTGTCACTTTCAGTAAAGGAAAGTGACTTCGTATTTGTTTGTCTTGCTGCTTTTCCTCCCAAAGAGTCCAGACTGTCACAGAAGTGTGCCAGATGCCTTCTGAAGCTCCCCCCTGGTATCCTGCTCTACCCCTGGTAGTTACAGATGCTACGCCTGCTTACCCAAATTTACTGTGAAGTCATTGTGGGAAATAATACTTTGTTTAAATTGTGTTGTAAAAAAAAAAAGCCGTGCAATTGTTTCCGTTGAGTTGGTCTTCTGTGCGTGTATTCAAGCGTGTTTTAGGTTTTGACGGATCTTTCAAAGAGAAACCAGCATATATAGATTGAACATTCATTTACCAAGGAAAGCATCCTTTGTTAAACTAAACACTAGTTCTGAGTAAACGCATAAAATCTTGCATAGCTACAGTAAAGCAGGTCTGACACATCCACCTTTCTATTTGTGTTCGGATGTTTGCACTTTGTGGAAGCTGACGCTGAACGGCGTGACTGGAAATATCTAACGCAGATGAGTCAGATACATAAATATATATGTGGAACCCTCCTCCCTTAGTCGGCTTTACTACCTAATGTATTTTATTCAATTGTTTAAACTCGATAAACATGTTCTGCAACTGAAACATTTCCAATAAATAACAATAATACATTTTAATTCAAGCTAATGCATCTAAAGCAGTTTAGTATCGCAGATCGCAAAGTGTCGCAGTGATTCCTTCTTTACTGTGCTGTTGACTCCGCGTAGCTAAGTCTGCTTTTCATTCAGGATTCACACTCTGCTAATCGCACATGCACGTCTATATTTAGCTGCTCCATCGGGTGCCGGTGTGGCGCATCTCCTGAAAACCGCGCTTTCCAGCCTCAAGCAGTAAGAGGCTTAAATGTGTAACCCTGAGATTGGGCCGCCAGTCAGATAGTAAAGGGCCGGACGGGGGTTAAGAAGCAGACCAAGGGGGTCGCAACATGTGTGGGAAATGATTGCGCTCATTTCTTTTACAGGGAGAATGAATGAAAGACGGTTATGTTCTTTGTCACACGATAAGCCCATTAAGCACAAGAATGCCCAATCTGACTGTGTACTGAGCCCGGTGTCTTCCTTTAGATGTGGGCCTGTCTGACACATGGACTGTCTGATGATGAGGGATCTAGAAACACAGCATACTGCACATCAATGACTGGTGGCTTATTCTATAATGTACCTGGAACCATGGCCCTGTGGGAATGTGTAATCTTCCTAGAAGCCCAATTTTAAAGACTATCCATCAAAAATATTGCGCAATCTTGAACGCCTTCCACAACCTTGAACAATGCCACTCAAGGACACGAGACGTCCTGCCGGCTCAAAGTGATATTTCTTAATGCGTAATGCAACTTTGCATTTGGCGGCCGGAGTAAAATGTTGGTCGAGTAAAGTGTCTGAATGGAAGGAGGCCTGCGATGCCGGTGTAGAAATTGCATCACGAGTGCAGGAGCCGTACAGAGATGCGAGGGGAGGGGTCCTTCGCTGGTGCTGACTGGACGATGCAGAGGGGAGAGGAGTGGAGGGAGGGATGGATGGGTGGAGGGAGAGACGAGGGGAGCGCACCAGCTCACTCTGACTCACCCACTTCATCCCACCCATCATGTCCGGGGTCCATCCACCCCTCCTCTTTCGGCACGCACACAAACGCACAGACACAACCATTCACACTTACACTCAAATTCTCTCATGCTACCGCATATCACCGCTGACTGTGAATCCCCCTCTGCTGCGTGCTGGTGCAAAATGCAGCAATGTGTTTGAATATGTTCAATTAAATTGCAGTTGCATTGGCACTCATTTAATCTGCTATAAGTGCCTATTGGGGCATAGCATTAATATGTGATTTGTTATATTAAATTAAAGGTGTTTTCTCGATGTTATTTCCGTAACCTATTTGCATGATCCCAGCAGTGTTTCCACACCTTCCTCCTCATCACTCCATCACGTTGCTTTTGAAGGGTGAACGCGTTTATATCAAAGGGGAAGCCTGCAGCGGAGCATACCAAAGCGACGCCCGATAGGGGTGACCTTCAAAGAAAAAACAAAAGGAGTCGAAAAATGTAAAACACCATATTCATTTAGAATGAGCTACTTGTGTTTTATAAGTCCATACATGTTGTTTGTGTGAACGCATCGTGTGCCGCGGTACGTTGTTGACGGGCTTTGTTTTAGCGCGCCCCCCCCCACACACAGCCGACGATGGGTTCTATCCGCGCGGCCGAGTCAGGTGACATTTTCCGCTTCGCCATTTTGTGCTGCTGCGCCGGGTATTTATCTGACGAGTCGTGACTCCTCCGTTTACACTGCTAGTTAGGTTGCCAGACGGTTCCTGTCGGTCCCGCTTTCTGACTCCGAGGCCTTCGATAGCGTTATTTCTCTTTTCGAGTCAACATAAATAATTATAATTTTGTATATTTAGTCCGTTTTATACCGTGTGAGAAAGAATGTCGGCCGAAAGTCCCGAATACTCTCCGTTCTTCGCAGTGATGGGCGCCTCTGCGGCCATGGTCTTCAGCGGTAACTATCACCTATATTTGAGCTGTTTGTTAGTGACAACATGTCTCCGTATCTATTTACTCGTATGTCCTTCTGCATTTAGGTCTCTCCCTTGAATTGTTAACCACGGAGTGCCTCTTTGAGCTACCCGCTAGCCTTGCTAACGTTAACGTCGCAATGCTAATCTCAAGCTGTCATCTCACGTTAGCTCGCGTAGCTAATGGCTTTAATTATTCTTAAACTCTCTATATTGTGGCAGTATTGCAAGCAGAACATACCAGCTATTAGTCAAGACTAGTTAGCTAACGTTACATTTGCAGATGCCTGCTAACAAATGTTAGCTTAGGCGGTTAGAACTAACGTTATTTTATAAAGGACATTAAATGGCAGTAGCCAACTGATCACAAAATCCAATTTTTAGATATAAAACCTTGCAGGTTGCTTTCGTCCGAATACTCCATGAAGGGTGTTAAAGAGGCGATATGTTTTTCACAGAATAATTTAATGTAGCTTGACATGTGTGAGCATTAACCATTTGTTATATGGTATTGACGTCGTTCCGTGTAGTGTTTGATATTCTGGCCCAATGTGCCACTTGTCGAGTACGTGGTGTCATTGTATGTAATCCATACATTGAGATTTGACATTTAACATAAATAGCTTTCTCTTGCTGCTGGTGACCACTGGGATGCAGAATCAGCTGGTGAACTTCCTTATAGCTCAAGGGAATGACACGAGGTCACATGATGATCACATGATGAGGCTTCTGACTTATATACCATCTTTCTTCTGCCCTCAAGTTAAAAGTTCACAGTGAACCTCAAAAAACACTACAAAAGACGCGTATGAAACCCCTTATCACTGTTTTGACTAAAGTATTAATTGGCTGAGAAAGTGAACTTTGAAACTATTTTTTTTATTATTTCATGGACACTTTTGTGGCTTATTTGTCTTTTGGTAATCAGGAAACATTTATTGCCAAAATATGTCAAACATACAAGGAATTTGTCTTGGCGGTTGATGCGCGACAGTAGACAGTGTAACCATAGACAACAAGACAGCAGTGAACAAGTAATAAAATAAAGTAAAATGAAATGCTGATGGGCAATGGGTTAGTAATCTTGGACAAGTGCTTCATCATATGTCAATAGTATCCATGGAGCAACGTGTGATCCGTGTGGCTGGTCTGATGGGTGCAGCTCCAGTTAGAAATAAACACGCTAATTGACCACATTGTAAAGCGCTGTAGCTCGAGGCCATGTGGCCAAACCTGACTGGCCGGTGGCGATCATCAGGGAATGGCAATCGTGTGTAACGTGTAGCGATGGGCAGCATGGCGGCGGCCCGGGGAGGTTAGTACTAGTCGGTTGTGGGGACGGAGTGACAGCTGGGGAATTGGCTTATAGGGAGGGGATCATGCTGGCACAAAGGAGGGTTGTAGTAGTGCGATTTATGGGGACTAACGATCGCTCAGATTGAAGTGCAAGGGATCGTTGTGTAGTCATTGATGGGTCATTTTAGATCCTTCTCCTTTTTAATGTACACCATAAATATAAGAACTGGACATAGTCAACCCATTGGTTTGTTGACTGCCTTTTTTCAAAAAAAAAGGAGAAAGTTTGAAGAAACCTGCATTAAACCGGCGGTCGACGCCTGGTGTGTGTGAGCTGAAGGACTTTTCCCGCAGTGGACATGGGAGTTTTTTCGGATGGTTGGTCCTTCATAAGGCCTGTAGAGTATTTATGGGGCGTCAACATTTCACACTGAAGTTTAGTTCTCCATTTCTATAATTGGTTGCAAGCCGTGTAGCGATCTTTTGGTGTCACTAGGTACCATTCTCCATTCGAAACCAACTCAACCGGTTCCCCCCCCATCGCCCTTCTTACTGTTATTTAAACAAATGGTCCAAATTTTCCACTTCACACTGACAAATATTTTAAGATGCCTATTTGCATTTGTCTCTTGCTACGCTGCATCTGCCTTTTTTGAATTTGCCTATTTAGTTTCTCACCAAGGAAGAGGTTTTATGCTTTAAGGGGCTTGACCTTCCTTCACATTATCCGTCTGTCCACCTCACACGGTTTGTTGGCGTAGTTGATGATGGTAGCATACTAGATATTCTTCAGCTTGTCATGCAATGGATTTGTTGGCGAGTCTCTATTTCTGACCTTAGAGATTTTGTCATTCGCAGTGCTTTCCTACTCGCCCACTCCAGAGTACACGATCCGCTGTGTATTGCGTGGGCATATTGCATGCAAGATCATCCCTAGCTAGAGGCCCCTCCCACCCAGACGTCACAAGGGCGTCCCATTCATTAAACTTACTGCAGGGAAGAAAAAATACAGGGAGGGAGGGACGGCTCTTCACCTAAGCTGAGGGTATTAGGATTAAAATCCAGAGGTGGTGCTTCTGCACCACTACGGAAGCTGCCCCCCCCCAGACAGGAAACCTTTTAATCATGCGGTCTCAATGGCAATGTTTGATGATGGGTCCTCTCCTGTAACACCTTGCTGTGGCCGAACTTACCAATACCGAATAGAGACGTTAACGTTGCTGACAGTAACGCGCTGCTTGTTAATGGATGGCAATGGTTTTCCCTTAATGTATTTAAAATGTTCATTACTGGATTCAAATGTTTGTTTGGGAAATGATTTTGACTCTAGCTGTTATTTAGGTCAGGGTTCCTCTGACGAGGCTGTCAAAGATCTTGTCGTCATTATGTTCACGTTTAATCATAGAGGTGCTTTCACGCGCCTTGAGAAAATAAACGCACCTTTAATGTGTGGTAATCTAGTCCAGTCTGAGGTTCCTCTCCCGCAGTCGCCCTTGGTTGAGTGACCTTTTTTGGCACTCTGCTTTCTCCTCGGCGTCACGCGCTGACGGAGGCAATCTGCCGACGAAGCTTTTTGCTCCGTTTGGCCGTTGCACTACGTAGACGATGGCCGGTACTGATTCGAGCTCTGGAGATGTGGCATCCTGCTTCTCTTATGACGTCAGCACTTCCCTGTGTGCCTTAACCTAATGAGGCGCTTTCATTTCGACAGTGATTAACCGCTCTGCAGCAGTCCGCCGGGGCCTCGGCTGACTGATCCGTTAGTCTTCTGTTCTTCCCCTCGGTATTTCGCAGAGAGAGACATGTTGGAATTTTAAGGGGAACAGAAACAGTTGTCGTGGTTTTCAATCTCAATTTCACTTCTGCTTAATTCATCTGGGACCACTGATTTCGGTTGTCTGCTAGTGGTTTGCCATTCCTTTTTTTTTTTTTTTCTCACTAAAATCTCTCTCTCCTCCCTACCAGCCTTGGGTGCCGCCTACGGCACGGCCAAGAGCGGCACGGGGATCGCCGCCATGTCTGTGATGAGGCCGGAGCTCATCATGAAGTCCATCATCCCAGTGGTCATGGCGGGTATTATAGCCATCTACGGCCTGGTGGTAGCGGTGCTTATTGCCAACAACATCTCAGAGAAGGTCACCCTCTACAAGTGAGTTCAGTTACTGATGCAAAGACCACAGCCAATAAATTGCCGCGTAGTAAGTGAACACAGCAAGACTCTGTCTACGTTTAATGTTTCACATCTTTGTGAATGCTTCATAGTTCCCCTATAACACGAAAAGCGTTGAACTCGCTCTAATGTCATTTTTCTCCTTATTTGACTGGTCAGGCATAATAAGCGATGCAGTAGCACCAGCTAGTGTTTAAGGTAACGTAACCATCCCGTCTGTGTGTTCAGGAGCTTCCTGCATCTGGGCGCCGGGCTCAGCGTGGGCCTCAGCGGCTTGGCGGCAGGTTTTGCCATCGGCATCGTGGGCGACGCCGGCGTGAGGGGCACGGCTCAGCAGCCCAGGCTCTTTGTGGGCATGATCCTCATCTTGATTTTCGCCGAGGTCTTGGGTCTCTACGGGCTCATTGTCGCCCTCATTCTGTCCACGAAATAAACACCCAGGCGTCTCCAATGAAAGATCTGTCCTTTATGTTGCTGCTGGAGAAAAAGTGTAAAACGGGGGAAATTTGTATAAAATTAAAAAAAAAAAGAATCAGCCACTTGAGATGAAAGAAGTAAAGGCGTCGAAATGAGGATTTGAAATGGCTACATGAATATGGTCTTATCTCAACGATGTGTACAATTGTCCCAATTTGATAGTCAACTTGTAAATGCGCAATGTAGTGATTTGTCTGTCTTGGTGTGTGTGTGTCTGCGTGCATGTGTGCGCGTTTTTAAAATTGTATGATAGATTCCTTTTTTTTCCCTCCACTTATTTCAGGCCTTGAGGCCGTTTGAGGCAGCGCCTCCGTCTGAGGCAGCTCGGCCTCTGGTCTTACAGCTTTTTCTCCTCCCGTATCAACTTGGGAGTCGACACAATTTCTGCATTAATCTTGAGGATCTATTTGTAAAGAGAAATGTTTATGGACGTACGTTTTTTTTTTGGTCCGCATTTTATTTATAAGAAATTGTTCATCGAACTGTTTAATGCAGCAAACGTCTATTTCCCCAGGATATATTATACATATATATATATATATACAGACATATAAATATCTACATAGATTTAATGCACTGTGGGTAAATTGTGATAAGTGGTTGGAATTCCTCTGGATGTATTTCTTTAATGATTAAGATTGCCTTTAGTATGTTGCTGGTGAAGTGGGAGTTTTGTGTGTAGCTGTATTCTAATCATTACGCAAACATTCTCAAACTTCCCCGTTTTTCCTGTAGTGCTGTTTGCATTAAAGGTGTGTGTGTGTGTGTGTGTGCGCCCCGTGTTGGGTCTCACAAGTGTAATTTCCAGAAGTTCATCTCCTCTCCATCGTCTTCACCTCCCGCCCCCCCCCCCCATCTGTGATCTCTTCCACATTCCAGTCATTCGGGTCCTGCATGGGTTTCAGTGTTTTGTTGCTGTTGAATATGAAGCGGAGGGGCAGGCTACTTTCAGCAGACTTTATCCAGATCAAAAAGACTCTTTACACGGTGCATACTTTGTCCAAAAGTATGAACTCTGGTTCACACGACAAAAGCTTCATTGTGTCTTTGTAGCATTCAGACCGGTTTGACTTGATCTGGTTGTTTTCTGAAATTGGAACTGCTGCCGACGCGTTTACTGAAGCGCCAATCTGTATTCCGACTGATCGTGAGGTTGTCCTGATGTGTCACAATCGAATTAAAGAAGAATCCAACTTCGTTTGGGCTGGCTTCCAACACACACGCGTGTTCAGTACTTCATATTTTCACAGTAACACGTTCCAAGTATTCTACAAGCAGCATGATTTATTACAGAAGTCTCAATCTGTAGTAAAAACATGAGCTGATCAAGAACCGCACACACAGATCACATTGTGCGGTTGGCAGATACATTTATTTAAAAAAGGTACACAAAATCAGTAAATAGTTTTATATTGTGATGAATTGTATAGCATAAATTACATCTGCACAGCGACTTAATACACCAGGGTCGCCGCTCACGCGCCTTCCAGGTCGCACAGCAGCGCCCGCGAGATGGTGCTGATGGCGCCAAACGAGGCGCTGTCGGGAAACGAGCGGATGAAGTCTGCGCCCTCCTCCATGGCGCCGCTGAGCAGAGGGTCCAGGGGCACGGCACCTGCAACGGACCAGACGCGTTAGCCGGATACCGACCTCACCTGAGACGATGAAAAGAGCCCCGCTGGCGTCACGGCGCATCGACTTGTCACGTGACTAAAGCTGTGCAACATCACAAAGGGCTGGATCAGCTGCATCGCGACACCACGTGGCGGGAAGCTGACATCTCACCGAGGAACGTTGATCCAGTCAACTTGGCTAATTCTTCACCTCCACCTTTTGAGAAGATATTGCTGCATTCCTGAAAAGAGAAGATTTATTAGAATCGACAAACAGCTGTGACAAAAAAACCCACACAAGTTAATAATGGATGATTTTACTAATCGAGAATAGATTTCAAATTGGGGTCCTGCAGCAACTCATGTGCAGAGGACCTTCAAATCCTTCAGACTTAGCTGCTTAATAGTTTTAAGTACAATTTCACTATACATCATTAGCATTACACATGCGACTTGCATGGCGGTTTACGTACTGAACAGTGTGGACAAACAAATCCACTCATGTTCTCGATGATGCCCAGGATCCGGACCCCCGTCTTTTTACAAAAGGTGATCTCCCGCCTCACATCGCCCGTGGATACCGCCTGCAGCAAACACAGGACCGGCAGGAACAATGCTCACTGGACGTCATGCAACTTACAGAATGTCAGGAAAGTGATCAGATCAATTTCATAAATTCATCATGGACCATTGACGATGACCTGGTTTCTTAACAAAAGCAGGACCATATATTTAATGTAGGTCAATGGCCAGAACTCAATTTGTGAGCTTATCAGTCAGTGGGAGTTGGTCCTTATTTCACCCGTAAGGACTCTCCAGGCTGACGGGTACCTGAGGTGTGGTGACCAGGACCGCTCCGTCCACCCTGTGTTTTTTAAGGTTCTCCAGCACCGCCAAATGTTCGTCCGATGTCCCTGGTGGCGTGTCCACCAGCAGCACGTCCAGCTCTCCCCACGCTACATCTGACACGAACTGCGCTATCATCGCTGTGGGATGGAACATGAGAAGAGATGGGGATCCAGAGTAAGTAAGTGTGACGGACCTCTGACCTGTGGCCCAACACAATGGGAGAGCAGCGTACCTGTTTTTTTGGGCCCCCTCCACACCACTGCTTCATCCGGGTCCTCCAGCAGGAAGCCGATGGACATCAGCGCGAGGCCCTTCTGGGCGTCGGCGTAGACCGGCACCCACCCAGAGTCACACTGGTGCACGTCAGGCCGGCCCACGCCGAGCATGTGGGGGATACTGGGCCCACACAGGTCCACGTCCAGGATGCCGACCTATGCCGTAAACATGCCACGTTCAAAAGCAATGCGACCGTACGCGCGTGGTCATCACGTGGTCCCCGGCGCGCTTACCTTTTTGCCAGCGTGCCTGAGGGCCAGGGCCAACTCGGTGGTGATGGTGCTCTTGCCCACGCCTCCCTTCCCCGACAGCACCAACACGACGTGCCGAACCTGCGACAAGTTCCCGTCTGGAAAGGAGGAAAGGCAACTGACAGCATGAATGCAGCGGGGCGATAATAATGTTAATGGATGTTTGACACGCGGCGTGTTTCATCGCCAGAGTCCACAAGTCCGGGTCAGAGGTCCTTCGTTATAATGTTGGACATGAGTTACTGTCGTCAACACTCCGAGGACATAAAAAACGGGCGCTCAGCTGCAACGTTGTGCCCGTTAGCTTAGCTATAAACACACACTTATCGCTGGCGTTTGTGACAGCTGGCGACTCTAAAGCTCCGGGGACACGGCTCGTGTACATATGCGCGCGCGCGCGCTACAATTCATCTAAACTTTTTTTTTTTACCGGTGACGCAGAACCTACCATTACTTTGTTCCATATTTTGGATTCGACTCGTTCACACTGAATTACTGGATCGAGTACTTCCGTAAACGTCACCTCCCCATTTAGCAAATCGAACAGCGTACATTACGCGTAAGTCCCGCCTCTCTGTCAATGGGACCAATGGGCTGCCGGTACGCGGTATGTTGCATCCACCCCGGTGTGGTGGTTTGGATAAGATAGTTGAGGGGGTGTATAGAAGGGATTTTTTGGGGTGGTGTCAGGATCTCCGATCCCCCCGAGTTGGTTGATGAGAAGAATCGCAGCACGTTGATCAATTAAAGTCAAAAGTTAACATTTATTTAGAAGAGAAAAAGATTACATGAGCAATTCTCCGCAGATATCTGGCTCTAACTATTGCTTGCAAGCAGGAGGCCCAACACACCAGCACGTATCTCAGCGCTCGGCGTAATGACGTATCCGAGCAGTGAAAACGCTGAGTTTTTATACACATGTGAAGAACATTCTCCGTGCCAGTTACGAGAAGCTGCAAAGCAGGTTGAGATAAGAACCCAGGTGAAGCTGAGGATAGCACACAAACACACACACAAGATCCTCCTCAGTGGCCGGTGCAAATCATAATTAATTGACATAAATTAATTATTATATTGTCCCTGAGAACATCAAATAAAGCCAGAAATCTGGGTTATTATGGATTCAGATTTACACTTGGAGAGTCACATCAAATCAGTAACAAAATCGGCCTACTACCACCTCAAAAATGTCGCACGACTTAGAGGGCTCATGTCAGCTCAAAACTTAGAAACACTCCCAGTGAGCACAAGACGTAATTTCAACGTTGAAATATGGTTGAAATCGGATTGAAATGAGGTCTGAACGTCTAAGACCTCATTTCAACGTCTTTTCAACCGGCTAATAATGGGATGAAACATCAACGTGCCAGAAAACGTCTACGAATAGACGTTGAAACAACCTTCACTTTTAAACCGTTTTGCAACGTGTTTTCAACGTCGGGCCACAGACGTCTTTTAAACGTTGTTTCAACGGATAAATCGCACGCTGGAAACTTACAAGTTACATACTTAGTCACAGTTGTCATGTGAACAGCCCTTAACAACGACAAACACATTATTTTATTAATTTGCATCTATTATAAATATAACACTATACATATAACAACACTTTTCCTAATTAAAAACAATACAAAAATAAAATATATATTTCAGGGAAATAAACTATGGAATTAAAAGTGCAGAATAAACATGGACAGGTTAGTTTAGAATTCTGTTTCTAGCCCATTTTTCTGGATTATTGGAACTTAATTTTCAGATTCTGTAACAAGATGTGGCTGTGAGTCACTTGAGTTGGGATAGTATACCTGAAATCAGCTGCGTCTCCCTCATCCTCACCTGAGGATTCTTTGTGTAAAGGGAGTGCACAGAACACCCTTCAATTGCAGATTCCTCTGGTCAACATGTTTATTCAATTCAAATCATTTTATTTTGTTCAGCTTTGCAATCTGTAAACATGCAACATCCTGTCCCAAAACCCCCAAAATGTAAAAAACCTTCAACCAGGAGAAACATGAGGGGAAAACAGCAGAGAAGTAGGTGTGTAGAGTATGAACAACTTAAAGATGTACAGTGCTTTCAAATCCTTTGACAGAAATTATTCTAATATCGAGAGTAGTAAGCCAAGTGTAAGGCAGGACCACTGCAGGCACAACCTCCATCAGATGTAACCTCCGTCAGATGCAACCACCACCCACAGAAACCTGTGAGGAGGTAAAGCACAAAGACTTCAAGGAAAGCACAAAGGAAATTGAATTGAATTGAATTCCATGCTGTAACAATCACTCACCCGGTACAATTAACCATCGTTGTCCTCTACCGTCCGCCAGGCTCCTTAGGTCATTTCTTGGAAGAACTGGACATTCTCCTGTCTAATTTCCCCGAAAATGGACCTCCGCTCATCCTCCTGGGTGACTTCAACATCCAGACAGAGAAGTCACCTGACCTCTTACACCTACTTTCTTCCTTCGCTCTGTCACTCAGTCCCTCTCCTCCTACTCACAAAGCCGGCAATCACCTTGACTACATCTTTACTAGAAACTGCTCTACCACTAACCTCTCTGTAACTCCACTTCATGTGTCTGATCACTTCTTCATCTCTTACTCCCTTCCACTCTCTATAACTAACAAACCTCCCTCATTGACTAACTCTATACCGGCTCGTCGCAATATTCGCTCCCTCTCTCCCTCCTCGCTGGCATCCTCTGTTCTATCAGCTCTCCCTTCAATTGACTCCTTCTCACTCTTGCATCCAAACGCTGCTGCAGAGACTCTCCTCTCAACTCTTTCCTCCTCTCTAGACTCTCTCTGCCCTCTTACGACACGACGGACTGGCAAATCCCCTCCGGCTCCGTGGCTGTCTCAACCGGTCCGTGCCATGAGAGCCACCATGCGAGTGTCGGAAAGGAAATGGCGTAAATATAAACGACCTGAGGACCTGCTTAAATTTCAATCTCTCCTCTCCCCGTTTTCTGCTTCTATCTCTGCTGCCAAAAGCTCTTTCTACCAATCCAAAATCGAATCCTCATTCTCTAACCCCAAAAAACTCTTCTCGATCTTCTCCAATCTCCTCGAACCCCCTATCCCCCCTCCCCCCTCCACCCTTCTTCCGGGAGACTTTGTCAACTACTTCACCAAGAAAATAGCTGACATACGCTCCTCCTTCTCAAAACCACCTCCTACTTCTCGCGTCCCACCGACCTCACCTCTTTCGCCCTCACTTTCCTCTTTCACCGCCCTCTCTCCTAACCAAATTCTTACCCTAGTAACCTCTGCCCGTCCGACCACCTGCCCTCTTGACCCCATTCCATCACATCTTCTACAATCTATCGCACCTGACCTTCTTCCGTTCCTCACCTGTCTCATCAACAACGCTCCGTTATCTGGCTGCTTTCCCAATTCTCTGAAGGAGGCAAGAGTCAACCCTCTCCGGAAGAAACCCACCCTCAACCCTTCTGAAGAAAACAACTACAGACCAGTCTCTCTTCTTCCCTTTATGTCCAAAACCCTTGAACGTGCTATCTTTAATCAACTCTCCTCTTATCTCCACTGTAACAACCTCCTTGACCCCCACCAGTCAGGTTTCAAGGCAGGCCACTCCCCAGAGACTGCTCTCCTTGCTGTCTCAGAGCAACTCCACACTGCTAGAGCCGCCTCTCTCTCCTCTGTCCTCATCCTTCTGGACCTCTCTGCTGCATTTGACACGGTCAACCACCAGATCCTTATTTCCTCCCTTCAGGAACTTGGTGTCACAGGCTCTGCTCTCTCCCTTCTCTCGTCCTACCTCGATGGTCGCACCTACCGGGTAACCTGGCGAGGATCTGTGTCGGAACCTTGTCCTCTTACTACTGGAGTTCCTCAGGGTTCCGTGCTGGGTCCCCTCCTGTTTTCGCTTTACACAAACTCTCTTGGCGCTGTCATTCGCTCGCATGGCTTCTCTTACCACAGCTATGCCGATGACACCCAACTAATTCTCTCCTTCCCTCACTCGGACACCCAGGTGGCGGCTCGGATCTCTGCCTGTCTAACTGACATCTCTCAGTGGATGTCCGCCCACCATCTGAAAATCAACCCCGACAAGACTGAACTACTTCTCTTTCCCGGAAAAGATTCGCTTACCCAGGACCTGACAGTCAACTTTGGGAACTCCGTACTAACGGCCCACCTCGACCGCTAAGAACCTCGGCGTCACACTCGACAGCAACTCTCCCTGACTCCTAACATTGCCGCGACAACGCGATCTGTAGATACACGCTCTACAACATCAGGAGAATACGTCCCCTTCTCACTCAGAAGGCAGCGCAGGTACTGATTCAGGCTCTTGTCATCTCCCGCCTGGACTACTGTAACTCCCTCCTGGCAGGTCTCCCTGCCACCGCCATTCGACCTCTGCAGCTCATTCAGAATGCAGCAGCTCGACTGGTCTTCAACCTTCCGAAATTCTCCCACACTACTCCACTCCTCCGCGCTCTTCACTGGCTACCGGTGGCCGCCCACATCCAGTTCTAAACATTGATGCTCACGTACCATGCTGTGAATGGATCGGGTCCAGCTTACATCCAGGACATGGTCAAACCCTACATCCCAACCCGCACTCTCCGCTCTGCATCTGCAAAACTACTCGTCCCTCCCTCACTGAGAGCAAAACACTCGACTAGGCCTCGACTCTTCGCTGTCCTTGCGCCGAAATGGTGGAACGAGCTCTCTGAAGACACCAGGACCGCATAGAGCCTTCACATCTTCCGCCGCAAACTAAGGACACACCTCTTCAGACTCTACCTCGACTAAAGACTAACAAATTGTAGCACTTAAATTGTACTTGTAACGTCACTCATCTATAGCAAATTGTAAATTGGCTTATTTGAGGAAATTGCACTTTCTTGTTTCTTGTTCTCCTGAGTTTGTACCCTATGGTTGAATGCACTTATTGTACGTCGCTTTGGATAAAAGCGTCAGCTAAATGACATGTAATGTAATGTCATAGGCAAAACAGCAGCCGGTGCTCTCTCTCTTCACCCCCGTCTCATAACGGTAGGGTTCCCCCCTTAAACGGTTGGGGTAAGTATGGAGCAAGAGATGAGGGATTTAGTCGCCCATTTGAAGGTCGACAATGAGAGGCTTCGCCTGGAACAGGCTGCGGCCGTGGTTGGGCCTAGTACGGTTCAAAGTTCTACATTATTGATCTGAAACAATAGACGACTTCCTATTTACTCCGCTCGTTTTCTTTTTCTTCCCGTTAATGGATCAATACCGCTCTACCGCCACAAGATGGCGACATCATCGAACATGAAAAAACGAAACCCTTTCCGACTTCTCTGCTTCGGCGACACAAAGCCAGTGACGTCATCTGTGGAGGGACAGAATGTGTGTGAAGGACAAATGTATTGAAACGCATTACGTCATCCTCCACTAATATGATAATACATCTCAGGGTGTTCAGGTCAATGTAAACAGGTACAGTGCATTATGGCTCAATGCAGTACACCCCATGACTCACTCTCAACCAATCAGAATGCTTGATTTCATCTACCTGTATTATAAAATAATATACGATACGGACATGAAACATAACCTGCAG